AAAAAAAAAAAAAAAAAGTGGAATAATTGAAGAATAATAATAAGAACATTTACAAGAAACGAATAAAGAAGCTACTGGCATGAATGAAAATAAAACATGGGTGAGTGCATCTTCTGGCTAATCATGTAGAGAGAGAGCAGACAAATTTAACTGTTTCAACTGAGCTGAGCACTGTGCCACTTTCTCCTGGCACCCAATTGCAGATGATGTTGCATGCACACTTTGGAAGAGATCGGCAGCTTTTTCATAGTAAACGATAGCTTGTTCCAAGTTCTGTTCTTGCTCATACAGCTTAGCTATTTCCTGAAAAGTGGCAAATCTCAAAGTCTCTATACAGAAATAATACAACTACGCTTCGATATCGAATTAATGAAAGTAGCTGAAGTTTCATGTCCAAGGCAGACGAACTCTGTTAGCAATAAAACAAGTAGAGCCAGGTATGGTATATTCGCTTAAATTTTTTTACCTTACAGTAATAAGCACACGAATCCAGTCTCCACATATCCATGAATAGATTTGCAGACTCTTTAAGGCATGATATTGATTCTGTAAAGAACACAAGTGAATAATGTCAGGAGGATAACTCACTGTAGTCTGTAGGCAGGATCAACGAAGAATCTCAATCTAGGACAACAATATGAAGAAAGAAAAAAAAAAAGACTAAGCAAATAAATGGCTTAAGCTGCGTCTTTCATTCATACAAAAGTATTGAGGAATTTGTCAGAAATTTCTGAACAGTAAGACCAAATACTCTCAAGACTCTCCACCACAAACATGTCTGTAAGTACAAAAAGTAAAATTCGTTAGGAAATTAAACTACAAATAATTTTAATCACACCTTTTGTGTTGGACTTCTTGTAGCAACGTGCAGCATCAGCATAAGCGTTAGCAGCTTCAAGCCTTCGATCTAAATGCAGCTGATACAAGACGTCGAGAACCATAAAACTCTTAAGAAAATCATTAAAGTGGAATAGTAGATATTGGGACCACATTTCAGCCAGCACAAGCCACAGTGTTAAGCGTAAAACAAACCTTCAAGTAGCAGCTGGCCAACTTAACATAAACTGCTCCAGCCTGATCCCCTGAAAGAAGCCATTATGTCAATGTCGGAGCTAAAACCATCCGCAACATAAATTAAAAGAGACAAAAGATCATCGATAATATAAAATTTAAAGATGTGGTTCTAAATGAGCAAAATTAAACATTTGTGGATGTAAACAATAAGTGTAGTATCTCTACTCTAATGATATTACCACAAGCAATAATGTTTCGAATTCCCAAATACGATGAACCAATTGACTAATCTCAAGTAAAATCCAGAAACTAAAGTTAAGCCAAGAAGCCCTTTTAGTGAATTGTGAAGCGTCATTGAAGTGAATTTCCATTAACACAAGAACAAAAAATAAAGTAAATAAAATTAATGAAAGAGGAGGAAATCCAATTCATATCCGTAACGCTTGTGATAGACAACTAAACCTAAGAATCATATTTCGTTAATTAACGTCTACCCGACGAAAATAATAACCAAAAAAAAGGTGCACAGACAAAGATCACACACGTTAAAAAACGAACACACAACAGAATTTGATCAAGCACGGCAATTTATCAGTCGTTACAAACGAGAAAAGGAAAAATGAATAAAAAAGGGGAATAATTGAAACATGATTTGGCGAGTTTGTAGACAATGGCTGCTTTCTTGAATAAACTGATGGCATCTTCATATTTGGTGCCGGATAGATTCCAGCCAGCGAGCTTCTTCTCGGCTTGGCTCTCCAAGTCAGCTGCCTTTGCTAAATGATCGCCCATTGATTTATTATTCTTCATGGAAAAGTGTTTGGCCTGGCTTTTGACGTTGCTCTGTTTTTTATGCTTTCGACGATGAAAAGGAAAAAGAGAAAATCATCAAAATCATAAAATGATCCCGCCTATTATATTTTGAAGGATGTGATGGTGATAGAATCACTAATTAGAGAGCAAAAGATAACAAGAAAAGTTGAATGGAATTTTGAGTGATGCTAGCAAAAAACTCACAAGACTGTTGAATTGTAAATTCTAAATTGTAATATTGATGATAACCAATTCAATGTTCAAGCTCATTCGTGTTTGACAATAGTTCTTTTACTTGTTAATAGAGCCAAAACTCGAACAAAAAGTTAGGCTAGTTTAATAGTCAAACGAACACGAGCTCTTTCACGAATGTTCAATAATGTTTGTGAACATGAACTTAATATAATTTTACTTTATTTTTTATACATATGAAATTTTTAATAAAAAATCTAAATATGAAAATATTTTTATTGTCATTTTGTTTTTACTTTTTGATATCGATCAAACACATCTCTAGTTAATCAACAACTATAAAAAGTTTGCTTACTAAATTATTAGAACACGGACGAACTCGAACTTTGATAAACAATTAAAAGAACGGGTTCAAACACGATTTTTTGCTCAAAAAATAAACGAACGGACAAGATCAGAATATGAACACAATTGAAGCTAAAGCTCAACTCGTTCGGTTTGATTTTCAACACTAATTATTAGTGAACCCTAGACCATTACATTTCTCGTATAGATGTTAAACGAACTAAGCCGCTCATGGGCTCAACTTTACTCATTAATGCTCGAGTTTGACTTTACTCATTTATCATGCTCGTTTAATCAATGAGTCAAGCTCGACTCGTTAAGACTCGAAAAATAAGGTTTCTAGTTCGAAACTATTAACTTAGTCCGACTTAGGGGTGTTAACAAACCGAATGTTCGCGAACAAAAGCTCGTAGCTCGTTCGTGCTCGTCAATGGCAGCAACTAAATCCTATGGTAGAGACACAAAAATATGTGATATGTCACATCTTGACAGATCTAGAAAAGTTTGTGTTACGGAATAAATATATGTCAAATTACAAGAGGAGAAAACAAAACGAATGATTGAGAAATATGGCATATACCGCTAGCAGTTTGTTATTCACGTGTTATGGAAATGTCGGATCGAGGTCCAACAAATGCAGAGCAAAAAGCTTCCCTTTATAGCATATTACAAACATACAGTGAAAGGTTACAAATACAGCGAAAATACCTGGTATCGGTCTGATGCGTTGTTGATAGCACCGTCATCGTTCTTGCACAGCTGGCAAAATCCAGCATTGAGAAGGTGCCCTTTTACGCAGTACTTCAGTAAGCCATCGGTGAGCGACTGTTGTGCTATATCTTCATAGATCTTAATGGCCTTTGGATATCTGAGAAAAAAGTTAATCCAGTTTCAGACATGAAAAATAGATTAAGAAAGCAGAGAACACACATGAAATGAAAGGATATGAAGGTTAGAAATGATACAACTATGTGAAGAGCATAATGGTTTCACGAGGGTTACTCAGCAGCAGGAAATGATCGATAATAGATGAAGACGAGAATTCCCTCCTAAAGGATACTATAGACTGATATTTTGATTCAATTGGACACGAGGTTTTAAGATTAAGTGAGAAACCAATCACGGAAATGATATCACCACAACAAAAATGAAAAAAAAAAAGGAAAAACATGGAATAATTGAAGAATAATGATAAGAACATTTACAAGAACGAATAAAGAAGCTACTGGCATGAATGAAAATAAAACATGGGTGAGTGCATCATCTGGCCAATCATGTAGAGAGAGAGAGAGCAGACAAATTTAATGGTTCCAACCGAGCCACTTACTGCGCAACTTTCTGCTTGTACTCATTTGCTGATGCTGTTACATCCTCACTTTGGAAGAGATCGACAACTTTTTTATAGTAAACAATAGCTTGTTCCAAGTTCTGTTCTTGTTCATACAACTCAGCTACTTCCTGAAACGTAGCAAATCTCAAAGTCTTTATAAAAAGTAAAAAGACAACTACACTTCAATAGAACCTTGTAAGCAATAAAACAAGTAGAGTCAGGTATATGCACCTACTTAAAGTTTTTACCTTATAGTATTTGGCACACGTATTCAGTCTCCCAATATCCATGACTAGATCTATAGGATCTTCAAGGCATGATATCGATTCTGTAAAGGACACAAGTGAATAACATCAGGGGGATAACTTATTGTAGTCTGTAGGCAGGATCAACGAAGAATCTCAATCCAGGCAAGTCCGAAAATGGTTTTCATCAGGTCCTCACAAAACCACCTTTTTTTTTCAGATTAATGCACAGATTGAATGCACTAACGACAACATGCAGTGTAGGGCAACAATATGAGGAAAGAAAAAAAAAACAAAACAAAACTAAGCAAATAATAGCTGCTTCTTTCATTCATACAAGTATTGAGAAATTTGTCAGAAATTTATGAACAATAAGACCAAATACTCTCAAGACTCTCCACCACAAACATGTCTGTACAAGTAAAACTCGTTAGGGAACTAAAACTACAAATAAATTTTGATCACACCTTTTGTGTTAGACTTATTGTAGCAATATGCAGCATCAGCATACGCGTTAGCAGCTTCATGCTTGCTATCTAACTGCAACAGAGCAAAAAAAAAAACAACTCTTAAAGAACCATTAATGTGGAATAGTAGATATCGGGGCCACATTTCAGCCAGCACAAGCCACAGCGTCGAGCATAAAACTAACCTTCAAGTGGCAGCTGGCCAACTTAACATAAACTGCTCCAGCTTGATTCCCTGAAAGAAGCCATTATGTCAATGTCTAAGCTTAAAACCATCTGCAACATAAACTAACCACACGAAAGATCCTCGATAATAGTGTTCCGAATTCTCAAATAAGATGAATCAACTGTGTGCTTTGAACTAATCTCAAGTACAATCCAGAAAGTAAAATCAAGCAAAAAGAAGCCCTTTTAGTAAATTGTGAAGCGCCATTGAAGCTGAATTTCCACCAACACAAGATCAAAAAATAAAGTGAAATAAAATTGAGGAGGAAATCCAATTCATATCCATAACGCTTGTGATAGACAACTGAAACCTAAGAATCATACTTCGCCATTAACGTCTTCTCGACAAAAAATTAAAAAAAGAAAAATTAAAAAAAAAAAGTGCACAGTCCACAGACAAAGATCACATACGTTAAAACGAACAAACAAAATAATCTAATCAAACACAGCAAAGAATTTATCAAAATAAGGGATTCGAATAATCGAAAGATACATGATTTGGCGAGTTTGTAAGCACTGGCTGCTTTGTCGAATAACTCGGCGGCGTCTTCATATTTGGAGCCGAATAGAGACCAGCCGGCGAGCTTCTTCTCGGCTCGGCTCTCGAAGTCTGCTGCCATTGCTAAATTATCGTCCATAATTTATAAAATGAACAAAAACTCGGAAAAAATAACAATGTTGGGTGATACCAGCACAAAAGCTCACATTATTGTTGAACTGTAAATTGTAATATATATTTGGATAGTTACTTTATTTGTTGATCGAGTCAAAACTCGAACAAAAAGTTCGGCCACTCTAATAGTCAAAACTATAAAGATAGATAAGGGCGTGCGTAAATATCTCACTAAAAACTATAAAGTTAGATAAGGGCGTGATTCTTTATGAATTTTACGTTAAATATCTCACTCAAAACTAAAATTTAACTCAACTTCACTATCTTCAATATTATCAATATAATTAAATAATATCAACCAATTATTATTACACATCATATTAATTTTAGTTCACTATTCATCCACTCACATAATTTGAACTAACCATCACTTCCAATCATTTTCTCCTACTTTTACATCAAATCAAGTTTAATTATTTCAAATTAAATATTATTTTAATATATCCACTAACAACTAACTAGGGGTGCACAAAGTTCGGTTAACCGAGCCGAACCGACCGAAACCGAAAATTCGGTTTGGACCGAAACCGAAACCGATTATTTGGTTCGGTTTTCGGTTCACATTTTTCTAAAATTTCGGTTTTCGGTTCGGTTTGGATAACTGTGACCGGTTAACCGAACCGAACCGAAAACTGATTTATTTAATATATATACATGTTTTTTATTTATACATACAAGTTTTAAATTAATTTGCTTCAATGATTGATGATTTTCAAGCTTCATTGACGCCTAAAATTGCTCAAGTTTTAATTTGCACTCAAAATTGGTTTCATCATAGTCTCCAAGTTACGGTTCGGGTCCGAAATCTTCCTTTGAGCATAATTTAGAATTTATTGAGAATATTAAATAAGGTAATAAAAAATTATTATTAGTTTTTGTAGGTATAAAACATCAAATTTTTTATTTGGTTAAATATTCAAAATTTAACAATAATATTAATTATTTATTGCGAATAACCGAAAACCGAATCGAACCGACCGTTGAATTTTCGGTTAAAAACCGAACCGAACCGTAAATTTCGGTTCGGTTTTCGGTTATGATAATGGGCAAACCGAATTTTCGGTTAACCGAAAATTCGGTCGGTTCGGTTCGGTTTTAACCGAATGTGCAGCCCTACAACTAACCATACTACTTTTTTTGCAAACTTAACTATAGTGAAGAAAAAACTAGTTTGTTACTAGTTGAATTCATATCCAATCACCCCCTAAATATTTTAAAACTTTAGAAATTACGGTGTATTTAATTTAAACTTTTAAAAGTAGGAGTCTGGTAATGGCCAATGCGGGAGGAGTGCTACGTGATTGTTGGGGCAAATGGATTAAGGGGTACATTATGAATATAGGGTTTTGCTCTGTTACAGGAGCAGAACTTTGGGGACTTTTCCAGGGCTTAAGCCTGGCATGGCAATCGTTGCATCGACAGGTCATAGCGAAAGTCGATAGTCTATGTGCGGTCTTAATGATAAGAGACGGGCGGGAGGAGCATGGGGTCCATAGCTCATTGATAAGGTCCATAAGAGAATTATTGACCAGGCCATGGTTGGTGAAACTTGTTCATGTCTATCGTGAATCTAATTTTATTCCCGATTGCATAGCCGGCATTGCCACATGAAGCCCGGGAGGTTTTCACCTATTAGATGAGCCGTCGGTTGAAGCTCGACAATGGCTACATCATGATGTTATCGGGATCTCTTACCCACGAAGTGTTCTAATCTCTAGTATCTAGGCATTTGTCTCTCTTCCTTGTACCTAAAAAAAAGTCGTGGGTTATTCCATTGAGATTTTAAGAAATTTACAAAATTCTGAATTATTTAACTTATTCAAGACATTTAAAAGTCGTGGGCAATTCCATTGAAATTTTTTTAAAAAAAAAAAACTTACAAAATAAATCCTGAAATATTCAACTTATTTAATAATAGGTCTTGTATTTTTTTTTTAAAGATTTGGTGGAATTTAAAAAAAAAACGTATACGAAATCTCATTTCAAATCTCTCTTCCAAAAGATTTCACACTGGTCCTCCCAGATCTGAAAAATCTTACAATATCTCAAATCTTAAAATTTCAAAATGTCGCTTGAAATCACAATTGAATAGACCACTTTTAATATAATTTTACTTTATTTTCTATATATATGGACTTTTTAATAAAAAAATATAAATATGAAGTTATTTTGTTTTAATTTTCAAGTTCGAACGAACAGATCTCTAGTTAATTGACAATTATAAATAAAAGCTTGTTTACTAAATTATTACAGACGAATTTGAACTTTGACAAGTAATTGAAAGAACGACTACAAACACGATTATTTGATCAAAAAATAAACGGAGACGAACAACGTACAAACACAATCAACTAAGAGCTTGAAAAATTCGACTCGTTCGATTCGATTACAACACTAATTATTAGTGAACCCTATGAACATTATATTTCTCCTATAGATGTTAAACCAACTGAGCCGCTCATGGGCTCAACTTGACTCATTAAGGCTCGAATTTGACTTTGCTAATTTATCAAGATCGCTTAATCAATGTGTCAAGTTCGACTCATGAAGACTCTATAAATAAGATTTTTTAGGTAAATTTCAAAACTATTAACTTAGTTTGACTTTGGGCAGTTAACGAATCAAATATTCGCGAACAAAAGCTCGTTCGAGCGGGTCGGGATAGTTTATCAAAATTAGAATCGGTTCTTGTTCGGTTAACTCCTTAGTCTGACTTTGGGCGGCTAAATCTTATATATATGGATGTTATGAATTAGAATCGATTCTTGTTCGGTTCCTCAATTCGGTACGGTTATTTTATGTTCGGTTAGGTTTGGTTCTCGGTACGGATATTTTTTGAATCTCCAGAATCGTACCAAAAAAAAAAAACATTTCACTACGGTTTGGTTTAGAGATAGTCAAACGGTCAACGAATATTTTTCAATTCGGGATGAATTCGGTTCGGTTTTCAAAACGGTTCGGTAATCTCTAAAACCCTTGCTCAGCCCTATATATACATCTATCTATAAAATCTACTATCATCCACTCACATTTTATAACGATAAATAATTATTTACAATTTATTTTATCACATCACAAATCAATTATTGTACGTTATATATTTATATTGTATTGTTTTATATTTAAAAAGTCATTAAGTGGATGATTGGATATAAAAAAATTTGGTTTTATTTGGATTTTTTTTTGGTTTGATTTGTTTTGAAAAAGTTTGTATGGTTAATTGTTAGTGGATATATTAAAATAATATTTAAAATAAAATGATTAAAGTTGATTTGATGTAAAGTAGGAAAGAGAAAATTTGAAGGATGGTTAGTTAAAATTATGTGAGTGGATGAATAATGAATTAATGTGATGTTGTGTGTAAGAATGATTGGTTGATATTATTTAATTATATTGATAATATTGATGATAGTGGGGTTGAGTTAAAGTTTAGTTAAAAAGTGGTTGAGTTAATAATATTTGGATTTTTTTGAGAATTTTTTGTATCCAATCATGCTCTAATCCCCCTATATATTAATACAGAACGCGCTGAGCCTACGTGGCTGCTTCTGGTGCTTCGGAATCCTATGTGGCAAAATTACATGCTTCGTTATTAGGCTTGGATAAATTTTAATTTAATTCCAAACTAAAAATAATTAGGTTCAGATTACCATTATTTATGGTCATGTTACATGTATTAATTGTATTTTAATATCATTCCTTATTATAACTATTAAATTGTATATATATTTTAAAAGTTAATAACTTTTGTATTTTTCATCAATTTTACATATGTAATATATCAAATTAATCTTCTTTTGATGAGCTTCGATTTAACATCCATATTAATATTAATTAGAAAAATAAAATTATTAGAAAAATAAAATTATTTATCAACTAATATATTTATATTTCAAGTAGTTATATGATATAAGTTATAACAACTAATATAATATAACACATGTAAGTCATAAGTAACACATATCATTCTAAAATATATGGTAATATCATTTTTTTATAATTAAATTTAATTTAGTTTTCTCATTAATTTTAAAATTTAAGAATAATTTTTTAACAAGCACCCGTGTAATACACGGGTGTTGTACTAGTAGTTTCATTATTCTTTCATTAATATTTTTTTAGGACACCACAACTTACTCCCATATATATTGGTCAAAGCTTAGTTCTAACTATGGGAAATATAAAAGTTGCATAGATTTCACTTTGGGCATCCTATTATAATTTTGGTCAAGGTTTTATAGTTCTAATTGTGGGAAATATAAAAGTTGTGTAGATTTCACTTGTGCATCCTATTAGAGTTTTGAATCTCTAGCCAGATTATGATTGTTTATATTATTATTATTATTATTATTATTATTATTATTATTATTATTATTATTATTATTATTAGCTCGAACATTTAAATAATACTCCCTCTGTTTGATTATAAATGTCGTTGTAGGATATCAATTTTTTTTGAAAATTAGTTGTCATTGGAAATATTTTATCAATTCTTTCAACTTTATCCTCTTTAACAAATCTTAAAAAATCACCTAAAAACTTTCTCTCTTATCATTATCTTTAAAAATGACCCATTAATAATTCAAATACTAAATTTAAGAGGATTAGTAGATAAGATAATTACATAACCCATAAATAGTAATTTAGAAGTTTTAAATTAAAAAGACATCTAAAAAGAAACAGAGGGAGTATTTGTTTTTGGAATAAGGGAATGGAAGTCGTATTAAAACCATGATAGATGTAGGGTACTTGGATGATATGACCATGCTCGAGCTGCATAGAAGCCCTTATAAACAGGTTGGGCTAGGTAATTGGATGACATGACCATGCTCGAGCTTGTGAGAAGCCGAGCGGATAGATCGAGCTAACTAACCTGCTCGATTTGGAGTGGACTATAGATGAATTATCTCGGGAGATGATATTGACCTGACGAGAGGTCAACCTGGAGGAAACTTGGAGGGGATA